TGTTCGCTTCAAGCTGCCTGGCTGCCGGCCACCATCTTGGCTGGCAGTTAATTTGCATATCGCCCTGATTAGCCAATGGGAAGGGTAGCGGAGGTATGGCTAATTACCATGTTTCTCTTTTATTAGATAGGATATATATATATATATGCCTTGATCTTTTACTTCCTTTATGTTTTGCCTGAATATCTTTCTATTTAAAGTTGCAATCCTCCATCCCATATCACACCTTTCTTATCCCTTTTCCATGCTTTAGTTTTCTTCTTGGCATTCACTACTCTCTGACGTACTCTATATTTTACTTACCATTCTTGTTTACTGTCTCTTTTGTTCACTGTATATCCTTAACACCTACAATAGCAACTGACACATGGTAGGCATCAGTAAATATTATTTGACTGACCATATGAATGAATTAGAGATGGGGCCAGAGAGTTGGTAAGTTAAGGTTATGGAGAGCCTTGTATGGTGTACTCTGAAGCTTAGAATTTTATTTTTAAGATGATTAAATACTAATGAAGGTTTCAGGCATACGGGTAAATAGCCAGCTTTTCTTTTAGAAATCTCTCTCTGGTTTTTAGAAAATAATACATAATGTTAGATATGAGGAGATGAGTTCAGAGGCTGTGAGATTAATCCAGATGAGAGGGAGAGTACTTAAATCGGGAACAATGGTAGTGTCGGGAGCAAGAGGAAAGGGCAGGCTCAAGAAATATTTAGGTGATAAATCAGCAGGACTGGGTGAAAGTAGGAGGGCGAGGGAAAGGAAACAGAGAGATGACTCCCATATTTATGACTTGATGACTAGTTGGTTAGCTGAGCCATCAACTGATATTGAGAATATAGGAGAGTGAAGGAAAGCATCCCATCTGGGAGGGAAATGATGATTTCAGTTTGGGGCACGTTGAGTTTGAAGTGTCCATGGAAACACCACGTGGATATTTCATAAAGACAGCTGGGTATGAGTCTAAATTTCAGAGGAGAAGATAGGGTTGGAGGTAGTATGTGGATATGATTAGTATATGGATAGTAGTGAAAACTTTTAGAATTAATGAGATCATCCAAAGAGATTGTGTGGGGGGAAAAAGTACAAGGCCAAGGATGGAATTTGGGGAACACAAACATTTAAGGGGAGGTGAACCTAGGAAGATTAGAAAGACATGATCAGCAGGTAAAAGGTAACCCTGGCCAGGTGGCTCAGTTTATTGTAGTGTTGTCCCGTACACCAAAAGGTTGTGGGTTCTATTCCTGGTCAGGGCACATACCTAGTTTGTGGGTTCAATTCCCAGTCAAGGTGCTTATGGGAGGCAACATCTCTCACATTCATGTTTCTCTCTCCCTCTCTCCCTCTCTCCCTCTCTCTTTCCCTCTCCGCCCCCCCTCAAAAACAGGCAGTTAGGAACCAGTTCTGTCAGAACAAATCCTCTTAAGGATTTCTGGAGAATATCTAGGTATAGAGGACAATGCCATGCAAAGGAACAACTGTATTAGTACATGGAGTGGGGTTTCAGCTGCAAAGTTCAATGCAGATAATAGTATTTACCTAATCAAGTTGTTGTGAGAATTAAAAAAAATAATATATATATATATCACACACACATACATATACATACACATATGTACATATATACATATACATATATATATACACATACACACATATATGTGTACATGTATGGTGGGCAATAGTAGGTTTACAGTTGTGAGTGCATGAAACACAGAGTTTATCTTCTATTATTATTTACTAGAGGCCCAGTTCACAAAATTTGTGCATGGGTAGGGTCCCTAGGCCTGGCTGGCGATCAGGGCCAATCTGTGGGGTGACCAGTAGGGTGATTGGGGGGCCCCTGCTGGCACCTGCCTTGGCTGGCCTGGTGCTGCCCACTCACCGGTCCCACCCCCTGCTGCTGCCGGTCGCCTCCCTCTGGGAGGCAAATGGCAGGGTGATCGGGGGCCCCCCGCTGGCACCCACCTTGGCTGGCCTAGGGCCTGTGGGCTGGGGGAAGCTCCTGCATTGAGCGTGTGCCCCCTGGTGGTCAGTGCATGTCATAGTGATCAGTCATTCAGCCAGTCGTTCCACCATTCAGTTGATTTGCATATTAGGCTTTTACTATATAGGATTCTTGTATTATATATTTTTCTGTATGAACAACTGTAAACCTCCTTTTGCATACCTGGCTATTTTAAGTACTCAATAGTGTTAGCTATAATTATCAAATTATCATCATAATTATTGTTAGTTGGTTCTTCTAGATCCTACACAGGTAATCTTGCCCAGCTCCCCTAGCGATCTTCATTGATGTCTTGCCCATGTGGCCACTTCCCAGTGCTCCGCAGTGCAAAGCCTGGAGGGCAATAGGCTTATGTGTTCCATGTAGCCCACAGCTCACACAGCTGTGCAAGGTTTCACAGTGAGGTAGCAAGAACTCCCTGTCTCTCCTTCTCTAAGCACCCACATGCAAATTATTTTGCTCTTCCATTAGCTCCAAATCATCTTTCATGTTCAACCAGAAGTTCAATAGATAGACTCAAGACGGAAACCCCTCATTGCCACTCATAAATAAGGGATTGTATATTTATGAAATGAGGTTTGAGGGCCATACCTGAAAATTAGTTTTTATGTAAAACAAAGAAAACTAACATGGGGGCATATAATATCCCTTAAAATCTCCCATTCTACCTGCTTGTTCCCCTTGCTCTCTTTTTCCATATTAGAATATAAACACTTGGTTTATCTCATTTTCTATTTATATGAAATTCTTAGTGCAAATTAGGCTAATGTAGTTTCCACATTTGACTATCTTAGTGGGAACTATACAAGTGTCGTTTCTCTTGGGGTTCAGAGGATACTTCTCTGGAAAGTCATTAACTTTGCATAGTATGTAGAATTTTATAAAATCCCATATCTTATGTTTATCCTTTATCAAGCAAGTAGGAAGAATTTGGTGATTACTGTTACTGGTGTATTTATCTGCTTTATGGATTGATAATCTTAGTCCCATTGCTCACCCACTCTTGTGAATGTAGTTATATAAAATTATAATTTTCTTGTATGCTCAATTTTTTAAATAGAAGCAGCCGCAAATAACAAGGAAACATGAACACACACACACACACACACACACACACACACACACATTTTTTTTTTTCATTCTAGCAGCTGAATTCTTTGTAGACTTTTATTCTGTGAACAGTTATGATTTCCTGGCTGATGTAGGATCTCTTAACATTTTTGACTGAAATCACTCATTGCCTGTTCTGCCACATCTCAAGATTGAGGAAACGCTAAGATATATGTAGTGGAGGAACAAGTCAAAGCAGAGGATTGAATAGGAGACTCACTGGCCACAAAGACAAACATAAAATCTTTGCACCATAGTTTTAATAACTCTTAGATAAATGGATTACTCACAGTGGCAAATGGATGGTTAGTTAATGTGACAACTTCCCAATAACTCCTGGGGTGTCTCCTGGTAGCACATTCCCTTGATAGTATCACTTCTTGTTAGGAAACACAATTGCCATTATGGAAGCCTTGAAAAGCAATGTAGGTCTTTCCTGGAGCCCATGAATTCTACCAGCTCTCCACAGTACACATGATACCTCAACAATGCTGTTTCCTCTCCCAGCTTTGTCCTTCAGTATTGCCTTGCTGTCCGAGTCCCTGGTAAAAGTGAACCTCAGAATCTCAGCACCGCCCCCCCCCCACCCGCCGGCT